TATATATATATATATATATATATATATATATATATATATATATATATATATATATATATATATATATATATATATATATATATATATATATATATATATATATATATATATATATATATATATATATATATATATATATATATATATATATATATATATATATATATATATATATATATATATATATATTATTAGTTAGAATTCAATTTAACGCGGTCAATTGAACCCAGAGGGTCCCGTGTTAAGTGAAATCCGCGTTAAGTGAACAACAGAACATATGGGATTAATTCCAATAGAAACCAGCCCGACCCCCAAACTCCACTTTTTGACGACACATAACTATGTTGTAGTAAAAATTCTATCTTAACTTTATGATGGTATGAAAAAACAAGTAATATAGAAGAGGTTAGGTTAGGAAAGATAAAGGTTAACATAGGAAAAATGAAGGTTAAGTTAGAGAAACTAAAAGTTAGATGTAACACTTACGGTTGTAGAAGAGATGGGTCGGCATACGGGGATGGAGGCTGGTTCCGAGGCAGAGGGCAGATTACTGGCCCTCAGGTGAATCACCATTACTAGGTGAATCACCATCACTGTCACTTACAGTTGTCAGGGCTTCCCTGACAAATCCCTCAAAGTCAACTTCACTTTCACTATCACTGGCTTGGGCTGGCTGTGGTGGGTTGCGGGCGAAGAACTCGGTTATGCTTTGCTGACGGCTGGCGTTGATGTTGTCATGATACACCGTGATGTACGGCTCCATAGCCTGCACCAGCCGGGTATGGAAGACTTCATAGCGGTCATCGTCATTGTCGCGGGAAAGGACGGACTTAATTTTTTCTGCAAACTCTATGGCACACTTAATATCACTATGACTTAAACTAGGTTCTTCGGAGAATGACGCACCTTCTTCCTCCTCTTCACTGGCGTGTTCTTCTTCCAACATCTCGTCGGCTGTCACTTCAGGATCTCTGATCACCTCCAGGATGTCTTCGTTGGTGGTCTTGGAGAAGCCTTCAGCTGTAATATTGAGCGCAGCTTCTCTGGCAAGGTCCACTGCTACTGCAACAGTCTGAACCTGACCAGTCACAGGTTCACTCCTCCTCTCACCTGGTATGCCATGCAACACATGTCTCCATGCGTGACGAATCATAGCAATAGTCAGCAGATCCCATGCCTCCACCAAGAAGTCTACAGCTTGTTTAACGTTAAACTTCTTCCAAAATTGTTTGACGAGAAGTTCTTGAGTCACCGCCTCTTGTTCCTTGTCCTCGTCGCTTTTGCTCTCGCTGTCGGTGTCACCCAGCTTACGCAACTCATCCTTGGTGTTGGTAGAGTCGTTCAGCAGCTTGAACTTCTTTGCAGAGTACGCAGCTTTCACATTGCAGATCAACTCCTGGTCCATGGGCTGGATTAATGACGTAGTGTTGGGAGGAAGGAAGACCACTTTTACGTTGGGGTGACGATCCATAAGTAGGGGCGAGTGTCCAGGTGCGTTGTCAAGGAGCAACAAAATATTGAATGGAACATTCTGTTGCTCGCAGAATTTCTTCACGTCGGGAACAAAACAGTTGTCAAACCAGAAGAGGGACAGAGAAGAGGACATCCACGCCTTACGTGCGGTTAGCCAGTGGACATTAAGCTTGTTCATGTCCATATTCTTGTAGGCGTGCGGCTTGCGGGCTGTGTGAATCACCGATAACTTTGGTTTACAGGTACCGGAGGCATTGGTGGTAAACAGGACGGTGATGCGTTCCTTCTGCAACTTCCGACCCCTTACCTTGCTGGCAGACTGGACAACGAAGGTCTTGGAAGGTAACTTTTTCCAGAAAAGACCAGATTCGTCCATGTTAAACACCTGGTCGTCGGTGTACTGTCCTTCCTCCATAATCTCACGTAAAAACGGAGGAAAATCTCTAGCCGCCACACGGTCAGCACTCGCTTCCTCACCACCAATGTTGATGTTGGTGATCTTGTTCCTCTTCTTAAACCTATGCAGCCAACCAGAGGAAGCATTGAAGGGTTTGGGCTCTGCAATTCCCAGCTTACGTGACACTGCTGCGTATAGCTCACGTGCGTACTCCTGCACTGAGCGCGTGTCCACCGCCATGTTGCGTCGCGCCTGACGAACCAAATAACTCGCCAGCAAATTTTCCACTTTTGCCAGCACCCTGTTCTGGCAATACCTGATAGATGAAGCACCTGCAGACTTTGTGATTTTCATGTGCTCTTTGATCTTGGCTGCATCCTTCTTGATCGTGCGAATCGTAGATTCGTTGACGCGATGCTGGCGCGCGAGATCAACTTGCCGTGTTCCTTTCTCCAAATCTTGAACAATTTGGTACTTCACCTCGTAGCTTAAGGAACGTCGTGTCTTCTTTGGCTTAGTGCCGCTGGGTCCAGGTAAGGAAAGGTCTCTCTCTGGGGGCGGTGGTGGTCCGGCGGAAGCCATTTTACTGAACAATGGATGCGCGTTTACACGGTGTGGCCTTGAGGGATGAAACTGCCGCAGCTAGGTCAAGCATCGTCTCTCCTCCCTCCCTCCCTCCCTTCCCGGGGTGGTCACGTCATAATACTTTAAGCCAATTACAGCTAGCAGCAGAGGGGGGTAGGGATGCATGGCCAATCACAGTCCGATACGTCATATGACGTCAGTGATAACGCAACAAAGACACACACTGCGCAACCTTACCGCGCCGCTTACCCAAGCGGAGGGAGGAGGAGGGAGAGGCAGGCAGGCAGGCGGGCAGGGGCGCGTGGCGCGTGGGGAAAATCTAAAAATAGCGTCGCGCCGGACACTCACCGCGTATATGATGAAAAATTCCGTGTTAAGTGAAAGTTCAGCTCTGGCAAGGCACCGCGTATATGATAAAACGCGCTAAGTGAAACCGCGTTAGGCGGGGTAATACTGTACTCGAAATCGAAAAAATTTAGTAGTTAGCCTAATACAAAGGATAGCACAGTCTAAATAAATTTTACATTCATATCTAATAATGAAATCATACAGTAAATGTAACACTTTAGTTGATGGGGGAGAAGGGTGATTTTGAGGTTGATAAAATCGAGCTTCTCTTCAAGTGTTATATCCTTTCTTTTACGATCATCACCGGGAATTCTATCACCAGAACGCTTCTCGTTGATATTCTTTACTATATTCACAGTTAATACAGTGGGGTATGCTATAACGAACGAAACTCCTACAACGAACATTATTTAATTTTTTTTTTTTTTTCTAATTTATTGTTTTTTTATTACAAATATTAATGATATTCTTTATTTCAGGGGTTTAGATGCATATTTATGCACTTTTTTACAATTTTTACAATTTTATATTATATTTTTCAGTGTTAAGTGGTTGTATTTGGGGGCCTGGAACGGATTAATCCTATAACGAACAAATGCTATAACAAACAAGGTTCTAGAACCAATTAGATTCGTTATAGCATACCCCACTGTACCACAAAATTGAAGAAATACTAAGCAAAAATCGCGTTATAGCAAACAAGCGTTCGCGTTATACAAATATCGTTCCTAATTCATAAATCGCGCTCGAGCAAATTCGCGTTATCAAAACACGCGTTATAGCAGAACTCACTGTATATATATATATATATATATATATATATATATATATATATATATATATATATATATATATATATATATACATACAGTGAACCTTCGCTTTACGCGGTTTCACTTTACGCGTTTCTACATTTACGCGGTACCCTGCCAGAACCGGAATTCCCACTTTACGCGGTGCATCTACTCATCTACGCGGGTGAAGTATAATTTTTTTGTTTAGCTCATAAAATTCATACAAATTATCCGGCCAGAATATAATTTAATGCACTTTTTTACAATTTTTACAATTTTATATTATATTTTTCAGTGTTAAGTGGTTGTATTTGGGGGCCTGGAACGGATTAATCCTATAACAAACGATTGCTATAACGAACAAGGTTCTAGAACCAATTAGATTCGTTATAGCATACCCCACTGCATTTTGTTTACTCGGAGCAAATATGTTATCTTTTGTGCAAAATATATGAAGTGTATATTCAAAATATTCCTGGTCTTGCAAGGAATTCAGCAATGTCAATTATATTATCCTAACTTTAGTCTGAGGTATTATTTATTACTAAAAATATAAATATACTGTTATAACCCAATCATTTCTCTGGTAGGGAGGGAAGGTGGGGGTGAGGGGTAGGGAGGGAGGGAGGGAGGGAGGGACCCAGGGAGCAGGTGGGAAGAGGGGGGGAGGTGGGGTATTTTGATTGACAGATCGTATTTCGGTAAGTATATTTTGTTTATTTATTGAAGATATTTGTTTTAGCTCATAAAATTCATACAAATTACCGGGCCACAATATAATTTACATTGCTGGAATTCTTACAATTTGATGATAATTTTGAATATAAACATCATAGATTTTGCATTAGACATACAAATTTTAGATCTACTTTAAGTATTTTGTTTACTCTGAGTAAATATGTTATCTTTTGTGCAAATATATGACATTTATATTCAAAATATTCCTGATCTTACAAGGAATCCAGCAATGTCAATTATATTATCCTAACTTTAGTTTGAGGTATTATTTATTACTATACCTTAAAATCTCGTGGTTTTCCCCAAAAAATTTCTCAGAGAGGGAAGAGCCAGCGAGTGTAGTGTGAGAAGAGGGGGAGGGAGTTGAGTCCATTATTTATTTGAATGGGCATTAACTTGGCGACTGTATTCCTCTATTTCTCTCAAGTATTAATTGTGTGCATGTACCATCATAAAATTAAGATGTTATTTTTACTAGAACATAGGTATTGTGTCGGAAAAAGTGGAGTTTGGGGGTCAGCCGGTCTCTATTTCAATTAATCCCATATGTTATGTTGTTCACTTTACGCGTTTCTCACTTTCCGCGGTACCCTGTGTGTTGAATTAACCGCGTAAAGTGTGGGTTGACTGTATATATATATTGTTTTGGTTTTTTTTAATTTCAGGCTGGTCAGGAGGCATTCCGATCCATCACACGGTCTTATTACCGAGGGGCAGCTGGTGCTCTTTTAGTATATGATATCACTAGGCGGGAAACCTTTAACCACCTCACACAGTGGTTGGAGGATGCCCGTCAGCACTCCAACTCTAACATGGTCATCATGCTCATTGGCAACAAGAGGTAAGAGAACAGTTTGAGAACATTATTGTTTTGACTTACAAAGGATAATTAGGTTGCAGTGTGGTAGTGAAGGAAACACAACTAAGAGATAGAGCTATATTCCTGACGTTGTGTCACAAGATGAAACGTCAGAAATATTGCTTCATATTTCCTTCACTACTACACTACCATATGTCCACTATGAACAGTGTTCAAGGGATAACTAGATAGTATAGTAATAATGTAAGGTGTATTATTAAAAAAAAAAAAAAAGAATCATAATACTTTACTTATTGGGAAGTATTTTGGAAGTACAGTTATATCTCCGTTACCCGGAATCCCTCAAACCCGGAACTCTCCAATAGCTGGAATTTTCTCGGAAAATCATTCCCAAAGCCGGCATTTTCTGGAAAATTCCAGATTTGGGAACGATTTTCCAGAAAATTACAAGACATTTTTCCCGATACCCGGAAAATTCCAGGGATGGGGTGTTTTTTTCCGGGTTTGAGAGATGAAAATCAGGCATATTTTCTGGAAATTCTGAGAAAAATTTTCCATTGTCCGGAAGATTCCGGGGATGAGGGATATTTTTCCGGGTTTGAGAGATGCTGTAATGGGCAATTTCTGGAACTTCCGAGAACATTTTTCCGTTACCCGGAAAATTCCGGGATGAGGGATGTTTTTCCGTGTTTGAGAGAGTCATCTCGTAACCTGGAAATCTCTCATTCCCGGAAGTGCTCTGCAACAATACTAATCCAAACTATTTAATTGTCTTATAAATGTATTTATTCCATAAGATTAGCCATTATATTACCTGCTTCCAGTATTAACCACATTATGCCTGGGTGATGTGAGTGAAGATTGTGTGCTCTTATTTCTTCCCTGTTCTGTTTTGACTTTTTGTAGTTTCATTGAATCCATATATCATATTCCAGACCACAATTAAAGAGTGAAAACTTGAAAGAAATTTGGAAATAGGCTACACCATTTAGGATCTCGAGCATGACCAACTTCATTACAATACATGTAGGAACCTAGCCTCAGGAACTGGACAGTTCCCATGGTTCATTGGTTCCCCAAACAATCATGATTCTTACTTTGAGGATTTGAACTATACCAGACATTTATTTTGACCATAGATTTGATTGAACTCTATATCTAAACATTAAGATTGTCTCACTAGAACAATCCACCAGAGCCTGACTTGCTCAGAGGGCTTAATGCATTCTATGATTCTATATAGGAATGTGTGACTATGCTTGTCCAAATTTTCTATACACTTTCACATTTATAAAGCATTTCCAATAGGCTGCAGTTTCATATAAAAAACTATAAAGATATGTGAAACCTCTAAGCTATACTGTAAAATTACCCTTTATAGCTGTTTTAGGAATTGGATGATAAAAAAGAAATTACTATAACCATTGTATTTGAAAAACTTACCATTGTACTGTACAGTATTACCCCGCCTAACGCGGTTTCACTTAACGCGTTTTTTCATATACGCGGTGTCTCGCCAGAGCTGAACTTTCACTTAACACGGATTTTTTCCACATATACGCGGTGAGTGTCCGGCTCGAGACGCTATTTTTAGATTTGCCCCACCCGCCACCCTGCCTGACTGCCTGTTTTAGCTCATAAAATTCATACAAATTACCCGGCCAGAATATAATTTACATTGCTGGAATTCTTATAATTTGGTGATCATTTTGAATATAAACATCATATATTTTGCATTAGACATACAAATTTTAGATAAAATGTTTTCTCTGAGTAAATATGTTATCTTTTGTGCAAAATATATGACATTTATATTCAAAATATTCCTGGTCTTACAAGGAATCCAGCAATGTCAATTATATTATCCTAACTTTAGTTTGAGGTATTATTTATTACTAAAAAGTTAAATATTCTGGTTTTCCCACACATCTCCTTGGGACGGTTGGCGGGGGGTGGGGGGAGGGAGGGACCGACCGACCATCTGTTACCCTGTGAAGAATATTTTTTTTTTTTTATTAACTGAAGATATTTGTTTTAGCTCATAAAATTCATACAAATTACCCGGGTCAGAATATAATTTACATTGCTGGAATTCTTATAATTTGATGATCATTTTGAATATAATAATCATATATTTTGCATTAGACATACAAATTTTAGATAAAATGTTTTCTCTGAGTAAATATGTTATCTTTTGTGCAAAATATATGACATTTATATTCAAAATATTCCTGGTCTTACAAGGAATCCAGCAATGTCAATTATATTATCCTAACTTTAGTTTGAGGTATTATTTATTACTAAAAAGTTAAAATATTCTGGTTTTCCCACACATCTCCTTGGGACGGTTGGTGGGGGGTGAGGGAGGGACCGACCGACCATCTGTTACCCTGTGAAGAATATTTTTTTTTTATTAACTGAAGATATTTGTTTTAGCTCATAAAATTCATACAAATTACCCGGTCAGAATATAATTTACATTGCTGGAATTCTTATAATTTGATGATCATTTTGAATATAAACATCATATATTTTGCATTAGACATACAAATTTTAGATAAAATGTTTTCTCTGAGTAAATATGTTATCTTTTGTGCAAAATATATGACATTTATATTCAAAATATTCCTGGTCTTACAAGGAATCCAGCAATGTCAATTATATTATCCTAACTTTAGTTTGAGGTATTATTTATTACTAAAAAGTTAAAATATTCTGGTTTTCCCACACATCTCCTTGGGACGGTTGGTGGGGGGTGGGGGGGAGGGAGGGACCGACCGACCATCTGTTACCCTGTGAAGAATATTTTTTTTTTATTATTAACTGAAGATATTTGTTTTAGCTCATACAATTCATACAAATTACCCGGTCAGAATATAATTTACATTGCTGGAATTCTTATAATTTGATGATCATTTTGAATATAAACATCATATATTTTGCATTAGACATACAAATTTTAGATAAAATGTTTTCTCTGAGTAAATATGTTATCTTTTGTGCAAAATATATGACATTTATATTCAAAGTATTCCTGGTCTTACAAGGAATCCAGCAATGTCAATTATATTATCCTAACTTTAATCTGAGGTATTATTTAATACAAAATGTTAAAATTTATTTTTTTCACCCACTCTTTCTCTTGAAGGGAGGATTGGTGGGGGGTGGGGGGGAGGGTTGGGACTGACCGCGCGGTTGGAAGAGGGGGGAGGCAAGGTGGGGTACTTTGATTGACAGATAGTGTCGTGAAGAATATTTTTTTTTTATTAACTGAAGATATTTGTTTTAGCTCATAAAATTCATACAAATTACCCGGCCAGAATATAATTTACATTGCTGGAATTCTTATAATTTGGTGATCATTTTGAATATAAACATCATATATTTTGCATTAGACATACAAATTTTAGATAAAATGTTTTCTCTGAGTAAATATGTTATCTTTTGTGCAAAATATATGACATTTATATTCAAAATATTCCTGGTCTTACAAGGAATCCAGCAATGTCAATTGTATTATCCTAACTTTAGTTTGAGGTATTATTTATTAAAATTTAGTGGTTTTCCCCCAAAAATTTCTCAGAGAGGGAAGAGCCAGCAGTGTAGTGTGAGAAGAGGGGGAGGGAGTTGAGTCCATTATTTGAATGGACATTAACTTGGCGACTGTATTTCTCTATTTCTCTTAAGTATTAATTGTGTGCATGTACCATCATAAAATTAAGATGTTATTTTTACTACAACATAGTTATGTGTCTTCAAAAAGTGGAGTTTGGGGGTCGGGCTGGTTTCTATTGGAATTAATCCCATATGTTCTGTTGTTCACTTAACGCGGATTTCACTTAACGCGGGACCCTCTGGGTTCTATTGACCGCGTTAAGTGGGGTACAACTGTATATGAAAGAAGATTGTGTAGTATGTTTATACTTTAACCCCTTTTGCTGAATAACATTGTCTGGCATTAAAAAATAAAAAAGTAAAAGTAAATTCCTGTAGTGAAGGGGTTAAACTGCACCAGTACACCACTATCTGTCCCCTCACAATAGAAGTTCATTATTTATACAGTGCTGAGTTATCCCAAATTCCGACTTATCAACCCATATAATGTGTACATGTAATTACTAAATGTAAAATGTAACATTTACCAGCACTGCAGGCAAAGAATGAAGCTTCATAGTAGGTGACACAGAGGTATGGTAGGTGACACACAGGCATGGTAGGTGACACAGGTGGCCAAATATGCCAAGGTTTTCCAAGATAATTTTATATATCTTTGCATTTCCCGAGTTATGCTATAATACATTCCTAGACCATATCCATGCAGAGTTATATGAAATTCTGAGTTATTAAATGCTGAGTAATCAAGGTTTTACTGTATGTATTCATCTGTATTGACAAATATTAACATGATAACAAAAGTAACACTGGACCAGCCAGTATTTTAATGTAAATACATAACACCATGAATATTAAAGTATTCCTTTTTTCTTTAACAGTGATTTGGATTCTCGACGGGAAGTAAAACGGGAGGAAGGTGAGGCTTTTGCTAGGGAGCATGGCCTGGTGTTTATGGAGACCTCTGCCAAGACAGCTGCCAATGTTGAAGAGGCTTTCATTAATACAGCGCGGGAAATATATGAAAAGATACAAGAAGGAGTTTTTGATGTCCATAATGAGGTTAGTGTAAAGTAAATTTTCCATAAACGGATTCCCTCAAACCCGGAACTCTTCAATAGCTGGAATTGAAGTTTTCTCGGAAAATTGTTCACATTTTTTGGAAAATTCCAAGAAAATTTTCCCAGTACTCGGAAAAGTCTAGGGATGGGTGAGTTTTTTCCGGGTTTGAGAGATGAAATTGAGGGGCATTTTCTGGAAATTCCCGGTTCAAGAAGTAATATAATGCACAATTTCTGGAACTTCTGAGCATAATTTTCTGTTACTCGGAAAATTCCGGGGATGAGGGACTTTTTCCAGCTTTGAAAGAGTCGTCTCGTTACCTGGAAATCTCTCATTCCTGGAAGTGCTCTGCATCAATTGTTCCAGCTAATGGATATATCACTGTATTGCATATTTAAAGTAAATACAGAAAATTATACAGTACGCCCAGGTAGTTCGTGGATGACACCCTGGATATACCCAAGAATGTCTGCAGGTAGTTTTAAGTTGCCGGCATTTTCGCGGCTGGGACAGGGAGCCATTTGTTCTAGAGACAGTACCTGTATTGTATACAGTAGAGCGTCGATATAACGCGAGATATGTTCCAAGAGAGGTCGCTTTAAACCGAATTCGTACTAAATCGAAGTGTTGTTTCAATGGAATTATTTAGTTTGGTACTTCAGAGAAACACAGAATACTAAAAGGACTGACAGTCTACCCAGATGCACCTCAGCCCATCTCCTGGAATAAACAAAACATTGTTTTTTGTCGTATTATGTTAAAAGAAACACTCATAATTCAACACAGCTAAAATTAAGGGTTGCGAAATGGTCTGTTTACTGGCTGGGAAGATGGGGGAGGGAGGGAGGTGAGGTGATATGTTGATATGCTTGACAGTTGATGCCAAGGTCTATTGCTTATTTATTTATGTCCTTAAGAGTGACTTTAAAAGTTTTTATCTTTTAAGATGCTGGAATTCTTATAAGATAGTGATTAGTTTGAATATAAACATGCTATAGTTAGCATTAGACATAGAAATTTTAGTTCTAACTAATTTTATTAAAGGGCTAAAATTTTTATCTTGTGCAAAATATATGACGTTTATATTCAAATTATTTGCTGTCTTGCAAGGGTTCTAGCAATGCAAATTATGTTCTCCTAACTTTAGACTGTGTATTATATAAGATAAAAACTGTAAGCCTATAACCAACCCATCCTGACTGGGAAGATGGGGGGGAGGTGACAAGGAGGTGACAGTGACATGTTTGACAGTTGGGGCGGAAGGTCTAGTGAAGTATTTATTTGTTTATTTATGTCCTATAGATTGAGTTTTTTCTTTTTTTTTTTTACAAAATGTCACAGAAGTGACCGGGGAGAACATAATTTACATTGCTGGAATTCTTATAAGATAGTGATTAATTTGAATATAATCATGCAATAGTTTGCACTAGACAGAAATTTTAGTAATCATTTAGTACAGGTTGTACCTCTCTAGTCCGGCAACCTCGGGACCTGACCGGTGCCGGACCATGGAAATTGCCGGACCATGGAAATTCACCCTTTTCCTGGATAGATAGTGACTTGTGCTTATGCCTGGAAGCACTAGCACCACTTTCTCTGTATCATGGTCTCTTTGAAGACATATTGAAGGGTTAAATGTCGTATAGTAGCTTCTCAAATTTCGCGAGTTTTTAATTCTTAACGTATTTTATTGGAACACAAAAAAATAAATAAATAAAGATTTTGATGGCGGAAACTTGAATTTCGACGGGTTTGAATGGCCCGCCAACGTGCAGACGACGTGCATAATCGTGTAAACAGCGTCATTTCTCTTATGTACAAAAGATTCATTATTGTTTATTACTGAATGTGTTTTTTATTGAATTAATGTTTATGTGTGCAAAATGAGCAATAAAATTCATTAATAATACGTAGAATATTAAAACACACGAGGAAATGACACAACATTGTTTTCGTTGATTACAAAACCAGTGACTGACTGGTTCTACATATAAAACTGAAGAAAATAAGACCTTGGTTGTAGCTGTAGTAAAATTAATATGGTTGTTTTAAGTAATGTTATTTAATGTTAATAAATGGAACAATAGAAGTAGCTAACGATAATGGTAAAGAAAAAAGAGAGATCGCATATGTAAGTGCGCATGCGCACACGTGAAAACATATCGTCATTACTTTACATAAGAATAGGAAAGCAAACACTTATTTACTGTTCATATATATATTAATTAATGTTTCTGAATTTGTTTTTATTGAATTAATGTACGTGTGTGCAAAATTAACAATACAATTTATTAATAATACGTGGAATATTAGAGGAGACGAGACGGCTGCCGGCATTGTTTATGTTAAAGCTTACGAAACCAGTGACTGATTGGTTCTACATATAAAACTGAAGAAAATAAGACCCTGAGTTTAGCTGTAGTAAAATTAATGTAAAAAATGAATATGGTTGCTTGAAGTACCTGTAATGTTATTTAATGTTAATAAATGGAACAATATAAGTAGCTAACCATTAATGGTAAAAAAAAAAGTGAGACTGCTCGTATGTAAGTGCGCACATGTGAAAATATATCGTCATTACTCTACATAAGAATATGAAAGCAACACTTATTTACTGCTCATATATATTGAAGGGTTAAATGTTGTACTCTGTATAGACAAGCAGAGAGAGAGAGAGAGCAGCCGAACTGCCGGATGTAAACAAACCTTAATTTCCCGCGGCTTTGTTGTTGTTTTTTTACGGGGATTAGCCCACCTGGGCATAGGTCACTGACCCACATTGGAGCCTGAGGGGCAAAAATTTAATACTCCTGTAATAATAATAATAATTCAGATAAAAAAAAGAAAAAAAAAAAAAGCTGCTTATCTACCCTATGGGACAAACTAAAATCGTTCCGGACCACGGGAGTTTCCGGACCACAGAATGCCGTACTAGAGAGGTACAACCTGTACTTTATTTTTAGTACATGTACAGTTCAGCTTTACCCTTAGGAGAGTGTTGCGTGCCCAGATAAACATTAGGCGAAAAAATTTTAAATTATGATGCGCCAGCTTAACTCTCGCAAAATAAGAAAGATTCGCTTTAAATTAAAACTTGTCCGTAATTGTGGGTGTCGCTTTAAATGAATAAACTTAAATTTAATCTCTTAAACTTGATGTTCTACTGTATATGAGTGTGTGTGTGTGGATACACACGGCATATAAGTCGACATTTTAAGCTTGAAAAAACCTCTCCAAGACCAGAGGTTGACTTATACGCCGAGTATAAAATGTGAAGCTTTACCACAGAGTGGTAAACAAGTGGAACAGCCTGCCTAACAGTTGCTGTGCATCACTTAGCATAACTCCCGTGGCCTGCCGCTAATATTTCCTACTGAAATTCTTGTTTGGGAAACATATTTAACTTAGAGATTACTGTATAATGAAATAGTAAATTCAGTGTATGGTGAGGTCAATAAGTGGATGACAGTCTAAGTCTAAGCTTTGTGCCGACAGTGTAAAGGACCCATAGTTTTGCAACTGGCCGCGTGGTGTTGGAACCAGTGGCAGTTTGTTTACACCAGCTGATGCAAATGGCGGATTGTAAGCCAGGTGTACCATAATTTTCTACTATCATACCGTATATAGCGGTGCTATCAAGGTGCTATACTCTTATGCTGTGTAAACAATTAATATTTTATTGGAGGTGCTGATTTTGGCTTGGTGTTTACCAGAGTTCTTCTACATAATATTTATAACAAATATTGAAAGGTATTCCGGTAAGTGTCTTGATGAAAGCGGCGTGGCCTTATTACACACTTTTGCCAAAGGCTATATCCACATTTCAGTTCTAGCCTAGCCTATGTTTGGGCCTTAGGGGGTCGACTTATACGGCGAGTACAGGCTTAAACCTGAATTTTGAACTAAAAATCTTGAGGTCGACTTATACGCCGCAACTTACGGTATATACAATACAGGTAAAAGCAATAATTGTCCTAAGGGCAAACACGTAAAGGGAATATACGTTTCTTTGTACACAATAAAAATGTACCCCCCCCGCCCCCTGGTCAGCAAATTTTATTTGCGGATTTGGCGATTCAAGGCCATTTTGAGAACAAACCCCGTAAATTTGAAGGGCATGCTGTTCAGTAAGGCCTTGCTATATCAGTATTGCTTCCCCTATAGTTGCTGACTTAATTGTTTGTAGAGGGTGTGGGAGGTGTTCTGGGTAGTGATATAGATAGTGTCTTAAATTTGTGGTTTGGATATCAATGTGGAAGGTGTTATAGGAAGTGGCATTTGAGTGTGTTGTAACTTGTAGGTCATAACTGTACAGGCCAAAATCTTGTCTTGTGTAATAACTGTCAGTGACAGAAAATTTAATTATACAAACTGGAACTGTGCAGTTAAAATAGAACATGCCGAGGCAAGTGTGACAATTTGCTCACTCCAAATGCAGTCTCCATGACGAGATGTCGGACTTGAATAACCTTTTATGGGGATTTGTAACCAAATTCATTGAAATCTTATAAAAGTGAACAATGTCTGAAAAATTAAGTGCAAGGACTACTGTGACAGACACACAAAAACATTGGTATATAAAAAATTTTTTGAAAAGATGCCTGAGGTAAATGCGGAGGTAGAGCGAGAAACGGGGGGAAAGAAAATAAACAACAGCAAGAATCTCTAAAGTCCATGTCAGGCACTGATGTTACATATACTGTTTGACTGGTAAAGTATTTCCATCTCCTGAGTTTTTTATTGAACCAGGAAACTCCTTGTGTATCAACTTTGAACTTAGACGACTGTGAAAAGCATCATGAGACTGAAGTAATTCGTTGATTATCCATTGTGTATTATATTTTGTTACACACTGTAATTATAGTTCACATTATACTGTACCTGGATATATTTTTAGCCAGCAAATAAATATGCTAAGAAGTGTAGTACAGTATATAATTGCATTAATTGTTATCATCCTCTGCTGGGAGGTGGGATTGACTGCCAGGAGGGGAGATTAA